AATCAAGTTGGATATAAAAACATTAATATTTTAATTTTTAACTTTCTCAATTATCACAAGAAAAGTCACAGACCTCTTTATTCTTTTATTCAAGTAACATGTTGAGGAATATATTTGGCCCTAGTTTTACCATACGGTTGCTATGAGTTGGAATTGACTCAATGGCAATGGGGTTTTTTGGTTTTAGTTTTGCTAAGCTTCCATTGATACGTAAGCAATATGGCTTTCTGTAGGTATGTGCCTCTGTTCATTCATCTGAAAAATGGAAAAAATGCTATAGGCCTTTGTCTGCCTAATAGCACGGTTGTGTGGTTCAAACCTGATGGCACATTAAAAGCTGTAACACATCACACAAATTTAAATTAAAAATACACAAAGAACTTGGGCAAAAGCCAAATCAAACAGGAGAGGAAATCCACAGACTAAAATCCTCCCTATAGCAATACTCCAACTGCTGAAAGTTTCAGTAAGAGCCCCTCACAGCTTCTTGGGATTACTTAGTAGATACAGCTTTTCAAGTAAAATGGAGCTTAACAGGCAGCTCTTTATAGTCACATTTAATATTGTAACTGCACTTAAAAGCAGTTAACGTGGAATATAATAAAGGAATATTATAAACAAACTATTGGTAAGTATTTTATGCAAATAATGTGCACCTTCTACGTTTGTTTGCCAACTTAGCCCTCCCCCTGTGAGGTATTTCCCTAAGCGCTGCTGTGCCAATTTTTTTTACACATTGCTGTAAAAAAATCAGCATAGTGCACTTATGAAAATACCTTGTAAGAGAAGAGCGCAGTTGGCAAACAAACGTAGAAGGTGTGTGTTATTTGCATAAAAATACGGTAAATGGACTGCTTAGCTGAAGTAATAGAGGCATTTCTGCTACAGAGTATGTTTATGATTCAAACTTATTACCACAACCCTAATGTGACTGGCCATATACAGACCATTACTGGTTACAACTTGATCAGGATTAGATTCTCATGCACCAAGTGTGAAAACTAGCACAAAGGAAAAAGCTGTTGAAAACACAGCCGCTTGGTTTGCATGGCTCATGTCTTATCTATCATAAGAAAGGGTAATAAAGGTAATACAATGAGAAGGGCCGAGTTAATGACGAGGCCATCTTTCTTGAGCAAAGAGCTAGATCAAAGACTGGATTTGCTCAGTGATATTTTTAGACTTTAAAAATATACACTTACAGCTATATAAAAACAAATTTATTACTGAAATTCCCTCAGGAAATTGGTATTTCAACTTTGACACTCTCTAGCATCAACCCTTTTTCCAATCAAAGTGCAAGGTTTTTTAGGAACTCAAATATATATTAGAGCAAAACAAACTGTCATGGCATAACAATTTCAAAAAGACAATTTCTAAGACAAGAGTATTGAAAATTAAAGAGAGCTAAATGAACACATGCACGCTGGTACTCTGGGTACTTTCTCCTCAAATACAAACTATTTTGGGCATTGTTCCAAATCAAACTATACCTACTCCTCACTTACCAACTACCCCGTTATCTGACATTTCACATTTATGACAAGAGTGAAAAATCTACCATCTGACTATTTTGCGTATTAATGAGGCAACGGGCACAGAGGTAACAGCTGTGGAGCATCTCCTCATTCGAGGACGGTCTCCGTGCAGCCTTTGGGAAGCTGGGCCACTGCCTTGCGCCCTCCACTCCGTCCTGCTGATGGGGGCGCCATGTCCAGCTACCACACAGACTGGCCTCCCCTGTGGCCACTGCCTCTGGGCAGATGCGCAGGCAGCACCGAGCCAGCAGTCGCCTGTTCTGGATTCCTAGCTCCTGTGCAGCCTGAGGCCCTGCAGCTCAAAACTGCTGTGGGTGGGAAGGGAAGAAAGAAAGAGGCATCGGAGAGGGCTGTTTGGAAGAAATGCATGTCAGTTTAATGACATCCCAAAGT